CAAGCAGGATCGTCCTGGTCGGAATCCATGCTGTTCCACAGCCAACAAGCCATGTGTTTCAACATAAGCTAATAGTTGATCCCTTATAATAGTTTCCAGTACCTTTGCAATAATGCATGTCAGACTTACCGGCCTGTAGTTAGATACCAATTGCCTATCCCCGTCCTTGAAGATAGGGCTTATAATGGCATCCTTCCAGTCCCTGGGTAGCTTAGCCTGCGTCAGAGACATTTGGAAAATCTCCGTAAGCGGAATATATATTATATCCGCCAAGGAAAGTAACAACTTAGGGTGGAGTCCATCCGACCCAGGTGATTTACCTGGCTTCAGTTTAGACAGTAGTTTCAGAACCTTTGTGTGCTCTACCACAATTGAGGGCATCTGAGTGGCGATGGCAGTGACCTCGCCATATCCCTGGGTGGTACTATCAGACGAGAAGACGTCACAGAAGTATTCAGAGAGGTTTTCAGCCTTCCCTTCGTCTGACTCAGCCGCTTCTCCACTAATGGTTATGAGTGACGGTATACCACTGCTAGTTTTAGTCCTACGTTTAATATACGAGTAAAACCTTTTTGGGTAATGAACGCAATCTAGTACTAATCGTCTCTCGTACTCTATACGACTCTTGTTAATCGCATACTTACAGAGGTTTCGAGTTTTGCGGTAGTCTTTCTGGAAGTTTTCCCTTCCTGTCATAACAAATTGGTCCCATAAGTTCTTTCGCCGTCTTAATAACCTCCTTATTTCACTAGTGATCCAAGGAGGTTCATGCGACGGCTTTCGAGGAGTGTACCAAGGTATAAAAGGTGAAGTGACACGATCTAGTGTATTCCTAAATCCTACCCAAGCTTCCTCGACAGTCTGACTTGTATCAACTGACCAGTCAACCACAGTTGCTGCGTTCCGGATTCCTTGTATACCCGCTTTCCAAATGTTTGGACGAGCAGATTTTGGCCTGTGCATGAGAGAATGAATCCTAAACGTAAAAGCAATGACTATGTGGTCACTGCTGCCAAGCGGCGGGAGGCACCTAATGTTACCAACGTCCTCCTTCTGGTGTGTCAATACCAAGTCTAGAGTAGATGGATCATGTTCAGGGTGATACCGTGTTGGTGCATGCATATGTTGCACGAGTGCACATTCAAGCACTGTCAATGTGAGCTCCCTATTGAAACAGGTATACAAACTAGTGGAGTTTAATTCCCCCCAATTAATATGTGGAGCGTTAAAGTCGCCAACAATCAGACACCTATTTCTACTACTTACTTACTTTTACTTTACTTCGGCTATCTCCTACGGGAGGATGAGCCGGCTTCATGAACGTCTCGAATCATCGCTGCCCAGGCGCGGCAATTTGTAAGAGAGTTCATGAAGTTTCATGGGAATTTGGTACGAGTGATGTCCCCAGAATCGCTCGGCCTTTTGTTTGAGAGTGCAGCTCTAGCCTTTACACAGCCAAGTGTGACCTACAAGGCAGTAGGAGTGGAGTAAGGAGTCCACTATCCATTGGCAGCCGGTGACCGGAGTTCGGTTCATACGCCTTTTTGAATGGGGCCAGACATCCAGGACATCCAACAAGCCCTTTGTCCATACGTCTGCCGGTGAGCTCCGGTGAGCTTCATACGCCAGTCGTTGGAGGTTTGGAATCAGGGTTTAGCCATCTCCCCTAGACCGTCATCCAATGGACAGTCAACCCGGTGGAGAGCGCCGGGCATCCGCTTTCGCCCTCTCACTTTGGTGAGAAACACCTCCGCCACGTGAAGGCAGTGAGTAGGACTTCCTCAGGAGAGGCTATGTAAGACGCCCGGTCATATGGGAGCATTTCAAGAGGTGTGCGGAGGGGTGGCCAACCCGCAGCGCAAGGCACCCACCCCCGACCATCCTGAGGCTATTTCTACTACCCCACGCCCTCAAGTGATTTAGAACGAAGTCATCAGCTTGGCTAGCAGGACTTCTGTAGATAACTGCGATCGTTAAAGTGCCTTTGTTTAAGTTAATGATGCAACTTGCGGCTTCACTGGTGCCGCTGTCATGAGCTTCTGACAACGTTGACCTGATCCCTATGTCATCCCGGATGTAAAGAGCAACCCCCCCACTTTTCCGACTACTTACTCTGTCTGCTCGTATGCAGATATACCCAGGTATGAGTGGAGTTAAGTCTACACCCACTAACAACCACGTCTCAGTGATAGCAATTACATCAGGTTGTAGTCTTTCAGATAACTCTCCTAATTCGGCGAGCTTATTCCTAAGACTACATGCGTTCGTATAGCACACCGAAACACCTACGTGTTCACCCGGCTTATGAAGAGAGATCTCGGCAGCATCGGTTTCCGAGACCTCACCACCCGAAAACCCAATAGTTTGAGGTCCTTCTCGCCTTTCTCTAGCCTGGCCTTTAGTTCAGCCACGGCTTCTCTTCTTTTGATTCTATCTTCCAAAGGCCAATCAGGCCTTATTTTTAGACTTTTGTCGTTGACTTTGAACGCGTTGTCGAGGATGGTCCTCCTCTCTGTTTCGTTCCCTAAAACTACCTTAAGTAGTCGTCGAGGAGTTCCTGTAGCATCAGGGTTTCGTTTTCCGATCCTGATAGCCTTTCGTACGTGTACTCCAGTTGTTTTTTCGGGAAGTATTTCCCGGAATATGGAGCTGATCGCCTTCAGATCATCTGCATGTCGGGCAGCTGGATCTGTGTTCCTAGATTCCTCCAAGTTCCAGATGATAATACTGTAACTAGAGTCCGTGGGTTTCTGAGTTTTGCTGGAACTAACAGTAGTCGAGATCTTGTTGGTAAACTCGGCTACTGTTTCTTTCCTAGTTTTGTTTAGCTTCTTACCTTTCGGCAGCAACCAAGTGGAGTCCGTTTCTCCCATTCTGTTTTCGCCGCGACTAGAAGCCATTCGTGCACTAGACACGCTGCGCTTTGGCGTCGCTATTTCACAGGCTGGTTTTGCCATGCTGGCACTACTTGCCCTTCTGGATTTCCGTTGCCTTTTGCGCTTTGCAGCAACAGATGTCTGGGCATTTTGTGCTTCTTTCGCTTCTGAGACTTCAGGAGGTGATGCACCCTGAATCTTACAACCATATCCTGAACCGCCATCCTTGGCGAAGGTTTCTGGTACAGGCTTTTCAACTATGTCTTTCGACAATTTCTTGGACATCAAGAGTCCTACTGCCTCTTGGATGAGGACATCTAACGGGTTGCTGCAAAATTTGCACAGCCATGGAGATGATGGCTTGCAACATCTCTTATAGGCTACTGGTGTTAAACCAGTGCAAACTTTGTGGAACCAAAGGCTGCAGTTGTCACACTGCATCCCATCATCCACCGGAAAGTGGCAGTCCGGTCGACCACAATTGTTAGTTGGGGCCATAATTTTAATTTGTTACAACTATACAGTTATATATACGTCAAAACAGTGAGGTTAATGCCAAACAAATACACACTTATATATACGTGTGACAGCTAGGTAAATACCAACCAAAACACAAAATGTGAATAAAACAGACAACACTTGAACTAAATAAATCAGTTAAAGTGAACTAAAAGCTTCTGATGTGGTTTAAACAACAAAAGCAGAATTTACTTCACAACGTGAAAAATGCCACTCTCCTTTTTCAAAGCGCGCCATCTACTCTGGACTTAGTAGGAACACCAGAAAGTTGTAGGCGGCATAACGTGCCTCCCGTTGTTACTCATCAATGTCCGTGTTGATACTTTTAAGATTCATGTCATCATGCACGATATAGACGCGTGTGTCAACACCTGCCTACTCGGAGAATGCACATGGACAACGCTGGCTGGACGTGGAATTTCGACCACTGAAGAAGTGAATAAAATGCAACCTAATTTACTCATTGTCCACATCGCAAGCTTCCTTCCCGTTTACAAATGTCCCGAAAAATTCTCACGTTCCAGTTATTCCCATCCTACCCACGCCGCTAACGAAAAAATACCCATCTTTTAATATATCCCTGTTAGCGAACGATTTGCCCATACACTGGCACCTTTAACGGTGATAACTAATTTCGATATTCCCTTAGTTACAAGTGTAAAGACTGCTCTCCTTACATATTAATATCTCCACAGCTGTGGTATAAATAAGGCTAATGTAGTATGCGAATATTGTATTTTGTACAATTAAATGCAGGTTTCATAAATATAGTAACAGGTGAGGAAGTTAAAAAGTGCTTTCATAAGTCATTTTGGGGACAGTGATTGTCTGGTACCAGGTTGACCGACGTGGGTTAGTTAGTATACAATGTTCTGTGTATTAAAAGTCAACATATCAATTTTCAGCTGGGGAAGTGTGTAGACGTGTAGAGCAATCTTGTCCTGAGTGCGCATGTAAGTCATCAGTCCTTCCAAGCTTTTAAGAGTGGACTGCAACCAGCAGCGAACGGGTAGGTTTCGCGTTATTTTGCACCTTGAATGGAAGTTGGCACGACTAAAACGTAGTTTTTGAGGAAACTGGATTGAAATCCCTAACTATGTGGTCGAAATACTTAGTTTGCGTTTAGAAATATGCAGTGTAGCTAATGATTTGACCAATAACTTCAAATTGTGTTCGTAATCATCAATAATGACTTCATAGATAGTTGCATGCATGAAGCTGATACGTTGAAGGATTTTCGTTTGCACTTCAGGATAGACGACTGGAGTGTTGAAAAGAACACTTAGATGAGCAATTCAACTGATCAACAGCCACGCTCAACTTAACCAGCATCCCAGACCATCCTGAATGGGGATGTAAACACAGGTCCTCGGTCCCTAACTCAGATTACTAATCTGAAGCGAGGCAAAGCTGCAGGACCTGATGGAATCCCTCCAGAGGCTCAAAATCGTTGTCAATGACTGGCACAGATGCATTCACTACTTGTGACTTATATACCCAATAGAACTATATTTTTCTCTGTTATTACTATTCTTTCTGCCTCATATCTCTGTCTACTGTCTCTACTTTGCATTCCTGCTTACTTTCTTCTCTGGCTTTGTGTGCTGAGTGAATTGTGGCGACTCGAACTGCTGCACACCGGTGCAAAGTTCTATGTTGAATCCAGTCAGTCAGCTTGGAATTACAGTGGTTATGAATAATGACAATACCGTACTTCAGGATTTGAATGGTAGTAAAGGAAACAAAATCAATGCATCCAAAATATAAGCATTATAGTTTTTTGTTTAATCACCATCAGTTTACATGTTTTGAAAATAGAATAGGGGAGGTGTGTGAGAAGGAACAGAAAAATTCTAACACTGTTAGCTTGTAGGTTTATATAGTAACTAACGAAGTGTATAGTTCATAGAATTGAAAACATGCTCAGTGTGCTGAAATCACTAATATCGATGACTGGTCGTAAGTCATTCATTCCGGTAGTGTTTTGGCGAACTCAGCTGAATTATAATTGTTTGCTTTTGAGATGAACCACTAGAAACACTGGGTGTATTATTGAGTAATCTTAAATAAATGCACTTCGCATTTCCTAGTACTGCGGTGTTATTTCTTATGTTTGGTTGTTTTGTATAACGACAGTAACTAGTACATTTCGGTTGTTTTATAACCTTAATTAATTGATTTAAAAATATTGCATTGCTTAATTTTTTGAGCTCCTTTCCGACGGTATTATTCGGAGTATAAACTTAATTCATACACGATGTGGGTGCAGTTTTCGCTAGAATGTGTTCATAAATAGTTTCAGCTCTAAATAAATTCAACTCCCAGGTATTATAGAAGTATTTCACTGATTTGGTTCTAATTTTTGAAAAGTAAAATAGTAAGTTTTATGCCGAACATCCGGAGGGTTTTAATGTAATCACTGTAATAAAATGTGTATCCTTTTTATTTCAGCCGAAAATATCTGTATTTGATTGTGAAACGATGGTTTCTTTTTGTTGATGCGTATGCACTGTCAAACAATCATCTTCTCTTCAGGTGTCTTAACTGTTTGATTGCAGTGGAATATTTTTTTCTCTAGGGTGCATATCATGGAACTTATGTTCGGCGAAGTTGATGAATCACACAATGTTTTTCTCGAGAGGTCAAGTCCTGTGACGGAGGTCAATAACTGTGTTAGTCAAACAAAGAATAACGAAATTAAGGTGCCCGATAATAATGATAATGAAACTTCAGGAGGAAGCAATAGTGTATTACCCCATGAAGAAAGTGGGATACAGCCTTCTACTTATCATGGTAAAAATTTGCTGTCAAATGAAGCCAGACCAAGTGAAACTTATTCTTATGATTCTGAGCAACAGCATAGTAATCTCAGACCGTGGAAGCCTGTGGACCAGCGATTTACTGCTTTGAAATATGCATGCGATAAGCTGTTAGGTGATAACTGTGCGCTTATGAATGTGGTCCTAGATGGCATGTTGATGTAGACGAAGCATCGAAAAGTAATGGGGTGAGTTGGTCTTAACAATGTTGTAATTATAAGTTGCAGTGGTATTCTGATTTCTTAAATACTTTACTGATAGACACGAATAAGGCTAATTTACGGTAGTTTTAGTTGGGCTTATTGATATCTCAAGATTCTAGGATGAATGTCGTTGAAAATGAAGTAGAAGGCTATCCTTTTCTCACAAAAAGTTTGGAAGTCCACTTGGACAAAGGGTTTTGATAGAGCATATGACATTATTATTTTTGGGGGAAGACCGAAGTCTATCTACCCTCGGCTGTACCAGGTCGTTTATGGAGGCCATATATCAGTTGCGTCAAACGATTTTTTTTTTATTCAGTATGCCGAACCAGTCATAACAGATCAGTTTCTTGATTGCTTGCCCTGCGTAGCGAACAGTTGATTGAGAGTACGATTATTCCCCCCTCGCTGAATTTTCAGGCTGATACTATATCTTATATGGTTTTAGCACCAACTCTTTCTTATAAGATTCGCAATGTTTATCTTGTCATCACTGACATTTTATTGTGTGTTAGTGTATGCCTACATGAACGACAAAGTCACATGTATCGTCGTAACGTCACTGATAACGTTACTGAAATTCAATATGTTAGCGACTGTATTCAGTAACCGTGTTCCTTTAGCTGATGCAATGATGAATGGGGAATCATTTGGATTATTGCGCATCCTCGTAAGCACCTCAGTGCTTTTCTTGACAATAAATAGCTCTTGCGATACCCAGATGGTCAGTCTAATGGTACTTCTGGTCGAATTTAAAGGGCATTTAGTTAGTGTCATTTAACTGCTAAGATTCCATGTACAACTCTTAGTTGCTCATTTTCGTAGTATCGTCTGATAAGTTACGAAATAGATCATATGAGGGACATTGTTTTCATTCACAGAAAAGCTTTTTATAGAAGAAAGGCTTATTGATGAACTCACCATTTTTCGAAGTATGCATAGGACAGTAAGTGTCGGAAATAACATAGGATGTTAACAGCTCATTTGGTTAGGTTGTGTGAGCTGAATGACTTGAAACCCTCTCTCCTGAATTTTTAACTCAAAGGTAATGAGGTATTTGGACGAATTAAATGAATCAATGATGCATGCCGAAGGACTTGTCTTGCTATCAGGTTAGTCACGTTCTACTGAATAGTTATTCACTGAGGCAGTCTAATGTTGAAAAGTCATAAGCGCATTTAATTTCAATGGTATATACGCCAATTAACATACGTATGCTCTGGGATATATATCGAATCAACAAGACAACGAATAATAACTGTATGTCTGGGTATATTTCAAGGATCTTGTGACTGGAATGTGCAAATGTCTTTAGGAGTGCAGTCGCTCGTCATGTAATAGATAGTACCCCGCGAAATGGATATTTTAAAATCCTTTTAGATCATTGAGTTACCTGTTAGCTTCAGTTTACTGAGTATCTCCGAAGACGTGGTTATTAAGCGACTAAAAACCACCTTCTCACTCGGCGCCCAAATATTATAGAACTATTCTGTCAAATCTTGACTACAGTTCATTTGAACCACCTGTGTGCTTTGGATGTAGTGGGTGTGTGGGTGGGTGACACTGTTGTTAATATTTCCATACCATTGGGAGAGAACTTCATTTTTATTTCTTTAAATTTGGTTGGTTTTGACAGTGTCATTTCACATTGCTTAATTTATTATTTGCTTTCAATCTTACTCTCGACGTAAATATTTGACCCCTAATGAGGTCTATGGACTAACAAGCATACCGACAACTGTAGTTCCGTTCTTTTAATTCTTCTTGTGTTTAGTTGGCATGTTCAAACCAAACAATTAGAATATGTGGCGATTATTTTGTACATTGAAACTGTTTTAAGTTGTGTGCAGTTGGCCAGAGCTGACAGAGTAAAATTGATATATTATCATGCTGAACTTGTTGTTTTCTCTTTGTTGACTCTCATCAAGGAAAAAGATGTGTTAACTTCCTTAGTTTTAATCCCACAGCTTAAAGATGTGAGGTGTTTTCACTTGTATTATTAGAAACTTTAGTTCGATTTCAGGTACTGAAAGTCTCAGCATAATCTGTCAGTCATCCGAAAGTTGTTCAGTTTAGTCGAATGTTTCGTGTGGTCTATCTTTCCATGTATATATTTGCAGAATAAGTGAGAAGAAGGAGAGATAGTGATACGAAAAAAATGAAGACATCAGCAATATGTAATACCTGTCAGCTATTTAGGATCATTAGGGGGACGAGCTCTAAGAAACCTATGGAGAATGAAGTGATCTCTAAGGATGGAAGTTTAAACTAAGTGGAGCTCTGAAAAAACGAACTCGAGGAAACCAAGCACCCAGCCTTGGAACCTAGACGAGTGCGTATTGATCATATCTCAACCCTTTCGAGATCTGTTGGAGTATAGATTTCTCCATATTACCCTTCTATTTTTTAAACAAAAACTCTCCGTCTCTCTGAGTTACCTCGTCATGAACCCTGTGATTGTAAACGGTCCAAATGGCATTTGTCCAACCTCTTTTTTCTTTATCCACGGCAAGTACTGTTTAACTTTATTTAGTTTCTTCTTTAGGTAGGTACCACTAATAGAACTGCAAACATTTTAGCTTGTAGTATGCAGGCAGGCGGCTTGATATTTGTGCTATAGTTTGTACTAAATATGGTGTTAACTCGAATATACTGTTTTGACCACTTCGCTGAGAAAACCAAAGTAATTCTACCTTGTAATATATCTCTTACTTTTCTGTCTACCCTGTCACTTCTAAATGTATGGGTTGTGACTGTCATCATTCCATGGATCTCCACACTGATCTCGTCTCACCTGATCAAAGTACCTCTAACAACTAAGTGTCCTGGTGTGCTTTATGATCAACTGGCTGATTTAGAGTTTTTATTGTTTCCCCTTCTCTGTTCTTTTGTATCGTAAACGGGACATATTTGGTCCTCACCTTTTGGGCTTCAATATTTGACTGTAGCTTTAAGAAGGCCTGCTGAGAATGTTGCTTACTGTGGTCTCTTAGCTATGGTGGACGAGTTACGCATTTCACGTTTGCTGCAAGAATCGAGGCTACTTGGTATTGATGGCTGCTATAATTGTCTTGCCTGTATCGTGTTGAGTTAGCCGGTCGAAAGGGTATGAAATCGATTTTCTGTCAACTAAACTGGGTGTTGTATTTTCTGACTTAGATAGCCAAGAAATTCAAGTTCGAATAGGTGTTATCATAATTTTAAAATGCATCCCTATTTTAGCCTGTTCGTACAACCCCTTCTCTCAACAGAAGTGGTAATTTTGGTGTTGATTTGTTGAAACCACAATGTTGGCAACCTACAGCTGAAACATACAATAAGTGGAGAGCGAGGGTTCGTGCTTTGGGTAATTATGCAAAATGGCACCAAGGGGAGTTATTTATACACAACTTTGGACCCAGCGATCGTCAGTTGTTTAATGATGCAGTTATGAAGTAAGTTGCAAAATTTTTTCCCACATGCTTCTATTATTGATGCAAAATGTGTGTGTGTGTGTGTCGTGTGAAATTGCTCAGCACACGGATATAACTGTGGATAACAATGTGTTTAAAGTCGTGATAAAGACTAATGATGATTAGTCTAAGAAACAATTCTTTCAGTTGCTTTCTATTATGTGATGAAGTTGAATTTCCTCATCTGATAAGTACATTATTAAAATTGGAATTTTTAGGTTAAACACAGTATTGTAGTGATAAATAGTAATGGTAATAATAACAATGATTACTAACTACTACGTGCGTCGGTGGTACAGCGGTAGAATGCTCGCCAACCACATTTGAGGTTTGGGGTCCTATCCCCGGAGAATGCACTACTTTACCTCACTGAGTTGGTTATAAGACTGGTATAGAGGGAAGGCTGGACATGTGGCTAGCAACCCCATCCCGTTAAAGTAAACACCACTGCTACCGAAACTTCAAAGCTCTGACTTGAAGCCCTATGTAAAGCAATGTAATAATTAAAAAAATACTAACACTACCACTATAAATGGTAAACTTAACAGTAAGAATAGCCGTATTCTAAAACATACGCTAACACACTGCAGCATTCTCAACGGATGAAATGGCAACATCTCTACTCTTGGTATAGAGTCCTCAAGTAAAATATTACTTGACGGAATATCATGTGACACTGTTGTTCCAGTTAATGCGAGTCCCAGTCCTTTACGACATTTTTTCATTTCCTTCCAGAAGTACTCAGCATTAAGTTGAAAGCTTACTTAAAAGGGTGTAGGAGTTTATGCAACAATTCAGGATGGTTCTTAACAATAATCTAATGGTTAAAAGACCGTAACAGAATGTATGTATGGGTCAAGTTCCCGAGATGAGCACATATTCATGCCTCCGAAATTGTCCTCCTTAGTTGGCACTTTCCATTCTTTGACGAACAGCTAGCTTCGAGTGATAAGATTCTTCAAGTTGTCTGATTGTCTTTGCTTGGTGTTAAGGGGATCAATCATTGATGGTATTTGATATCCTTTATTAGTGTTGGTTGAAAATGGTGTACCCATTAGTTCGAGTCTAGAGTGGTTCATTAATAAACACTTTCATGAAATGACGTTATGGTTTTGTGCTCTCACTTTTAGTTAGCACTTCACCAAATACAATTATCTGTTCCGTTCGTCATGGAAGTCACAATATACTGAAATGTCATTTGTCATTTGTGGACGTTAAAAAGCTTTGGCAACTTTTGTTTTATTCGACAACTTCCTAATTACATAACATAAAAAGAATAGATTTTGATTATTAATATGGCTGCGACGTTTGATCCGGCTATAATTCCCAACAACCTTTCTTCAATACATTTTTTAAACTTATCACTTCACTTTTCAGTTTATGCGTTGCTTAGTTTCATCACCAACAAATTACCGATTGTTTTTGTTGTTTTTTTTTTTTTGAAAACGATAGATTTGGTCTTCCACCACCTGGTATTATTCCGCCCCGAAATTGGCTTCCATCAGCTTTA